TCCTCTTATAAAAGAGCACAGAAGTAGAAGTGGATCCCCATTGTTGTGGCAGGAGCAGGCACTGGGGAACCTGGACATCTTCCCTGGCAGGGAGATGGGGGCTGGTCTGGATACTGTGCAGTGAGGGAGCTGCCCCCCAGATATTTGAGTAGAACAGAGATCACATAAGTAAGTCGTGAGAAGCCCCTGTTGTTGCCACAATGACTTTACTGGCTATCTGAACTTTAAATAATTAGGAGTTTGCTGAATGGTTATTTCTGAACTCTAATTCTATGTATCATATTAATTAAGGTAGACCATATCTTGTGTCACTGCTGTTAAAATGTGGCCAGAAGACTGGCATCTGCCTGTAGACTTTTTGTGAACCTGAAATTGAGAGTAAGTGTTTGGGAACTTGCAGCAATTGACAGAGTACTTTTATAAAGATTAAGTCTACTACTGATAGATGAGGGCTGGTATATTGTTCATTTCATTTTTCTAGTAATTCCTTTTATTGTTATTACATTTTACAAAAATATTAGTTTAGATAGATTAGAAATTTTTAAAAACTGGTCCTTTTGAGAAGCATGGCTGCCATGGGAAGAGCTGGCTGCAGCTCATACAGACTTGCTGTGTGACCTTTGGTGAATGAGGTAATCTCTAGGTTTACATTTAATAAATTGAGACTTTCTAGCAGGCCTGATAGTTAGTCTTACAAAGCTAAGTCAGGGATGCAAAAAAATGTCAAAATTTTAATTTTCTTTATGAGCAAGATGGTGGGAAATTCAGTCTCAGTTATTATTGCCCACCCCACGTCCCCTAGCTCCTGTCTCCGTGGGGCTCAGAAAATGAGGGTGCAGTACTGTCAACAGCCTCATTGCCTAAGCCCACAGCAGAGGCTTGGTGGATGAGGGAGTCCTTGCTGAGGTTGGAGCTCCTGATCCCCAGCCCTCCTTGTGCCTGCATCTCCATCCCTTGATGCCTTGCTCCCTTGGGGTGGTCCAACCGGGCTCTCTTTACCCCTCTGAATTACCACTAGAGAAAATCTTTCCCCAGAGATACTTTAATATCTTCAGTGAGCTCAGGCTATGGAAAACTAAGGCTAGAAAAGAGAGTATTTTCAGGCTACTTTTTTTTTTTTTTTGATTTGGCCCCAGTACAAATTTCTGAGGCATGGAAGCACAAATGGCCTGGAGAAATTTGGGGGGAAGAGGCACAGGGGAGGGAAAGCTGAAGAAAAAACACAAATTAATATCAATTTTATAATTGTAAAGTGGGGCCAATAAACCCTTACTGATAGGGTTGTCTGAGGATTGAGTAAGCTAATGCATTGAGAATTCATAGCCAAGTGTCCAGCACACACTAGGTCCATAGTACTATGATTTCCAGATCAGGAGGTCCCTGGCTCTCACTTGTTTTTGCCTGTTGGCTCTTATGTGTTGCACACACAATGTGTGTTTGGATGATTTCATCCAGCTGTGGTTTTTCTTCCTTTCTTTCCTTTGATGATACAGGCTCTAAGCCAAGGGTACTTCATCTGGCATCCATGGAAGCCAGACTCCACTTCCACGGATGGGCTTCAGAGGGTCTCTGATAGTCTGGAAGTTTTATATGTTATTTCTATTTACTGTTTACTCTGAAATTTTTAACAAACAAATGTTTTTTTCCTAGCAAAAATCTCATCAGATATGCTCATCTGTCCTTCTTAGCAGATTCAAATGTAGTAGCTGTGGGATGAGGACTAAGATTCTGCATTTCTCACAAGCTCCCTGGTGATACCCAGTGCTGTGGGTCCAATGATCTCACTTAAACTAGCAAGGCCAAAGTGGCCTTCTGACTTTAAGGATGTGCCTTTCATTGCCTATTAACTTCACCAAACTTGCCGTTTTCTTTTTTTCCAACATATCTGGTCATCAGAAGCAGTCGCCCTATTCGGGAATGTTTATAATTATAAATATTTCCACTCCACAGCTATTCAATCTGCCAGTCTTGACCTCTACATGCACTTCATTCCAGTTAGCCATGGATGAAAGCTTACATAATTACATAACAGGGTTTTGCCCATCATGTTTGCTCCCACTCATGGAGCCCCCATTTCTTACACATAGGTGGGCAATCTAACCTCAAAATTCTGTGTTGAAGGCCTGCTTTTTAAAACTATTTCCAGTGTCAATAATTTTTGCAATAAAGCAGAGCCTGAGGCAAGGATTAAAATGATGGTTTATTTGACAAACTCAGGGAAGGGAGGATGAGGAAAAAGGTAAGGGAGTCAAGGAAATATGTGATATAATATAAAATGGTTCATCCTTGGTTCTTCTCTCAAAGAGCCATGAAGAGACCCAGCAGATACATCTACCCAGCACACAGCACTTTCCTGGAGGTTGGCAAAAGGAAAATAATAATTCAGAGTCCACCTGGGGAGAGGCAGGAGGGGAATTCTCTGCCCAGCTTTTTCCCTTCTCCCATTTTCCATTGGTCAGGATGCCAGATCCAAACTGGGAGGTCAGAAACTCTAGGCATGTGGTTGGTCAGTCTGGCTGCATGGAGGCATCCGAAAAAGGGGGGGGGGTGGGATTCCCAGGGCAAATGACTGGTCAGCCCTGCAGTGGGATTTGAGAGATTTTTTTTATCTCTTTGTACTAAGGACAAGGAAAAAAATTTTTGTGCCAAGAAGAAAAGAGGAAATTACGTAAGTTGTTCATAGTCTCTAATGACTGACTTGTCCTTTTATGTCCATGTGGTTAAAGAACTAGGAAGTGCTTTTAAGTCTTTATCCTTTGTCTTGCCTCAATATGAGTCAGCTGGAATAAAAAAGGTGGACTCTACTTAATCAGTGGAGATCTGCCTCTCTCCACAAATGTGTGGCAGACACCACTAACTGATCACTGCAGTCTTCCCATTTGTTGGCTGGGTATACTTCTTCCCCACTCCTGAAGTTTCTTTGCGTGTGAAGATAGCTATAGGAGTACAACATTCCTGGCCTCACCCTGCTTCCCCCCTCCCTCTGCCTCAAGGATGTGAGTGTGCAATGAGAAACCAAGCCATTCTTGGTCCTTTTTTTTTCTTGAGATCAGGTTCTGTTCTGCAAGGAGCACATCACTTATTTCTGTTCTTCCCTATCATTAGTCTTACAGAAGTACTTCCTCACCCCACATACCCTAGTTTTTATCTCAGTTGGGTGAGGGGCCAGGAGGAGAAGGGTGCTATTTCATGGGCTTTGCCAAGGTCCCAGCACCTCAGTGCCTGCCTTGGCCTCACAATACTCTAAGCAGTGCTCCTGGCCATCACACTCAGTGGATTGCCAGGTGGAATAAAACCTGCTGACACCTGAGTCCTGCAGCCTCAGTACCTCTGGCTAATGCTGCAACTGAGGAGCCATAGAGTAAGTGGTCAGATGACATGCGCTTTAGGTGTTGTCAGGCTTGGGTGTGAGTTCGGTTAGGAGCCATGTGACCTTGGCAAGTTACTGCATCTCATTAGATCTGTCTTATCTGTAAGATGAGAATAATAATATCTATTTCATGGTTTCTAGAAACTAAATGAGATAATATGGTCAGGGTTTCTAGCATTTAGAAAGTACTCAATAATGATAGTTATTGTTACCATGATACACAGGCTTTGGAAACATTAAAAATAAGGGGCGCCTGGGTGGCTCAGTCGTTAAGTGTCTGCCTTCGGCTCAGGTCATGGTCCCAGGGTCCTGGGATCGAGCCCCGCATCGGGCTCCCTGCTCCACAGCTATTCCCTCTCCCACTCCCCCTGCTTGTGTTCTCCTTCTTGCTGTGTCTCTCTCTGTCAAATATATAAATAAAATCTTAAAAAAAAATAATTAAGCCTGGTCCTCCTTCTGGATGGGGCCCTTGCCGTTTTTAGATATAGCCAGGCAAGTTTCATTGCACTGTTGGAGAATTCTAACATATCCTCTTGGGAAACCTCTGAGGCTACCTCTAATTCTTATTTTATGAATGTGGAGATGCTTTTCTCTCAAGTTTTCCTGGGCATCAATTTCTTTTTTCAGAGTTGATGCAGAGGGGTGAATGGTAAGGTGTATTCTCCTTCAGACTTGGGATCTTGCCACTTGCCCTTCATTTGAGTGATGTGGTTTACAAATCAGTGCTGCGATACCCTGTCTTTCCTCATAAACCCCTTCATGCATACAGCCAAACTTGAGTACAGAGACTTTGGACTCAGTGTGTGAGAGGCCTCAGACAAGGAAAAGAAAAAAAAAAATCACACTACATTAACAAGAAGAATGGCTTTGGGAAAAAAATATGTATAGTGTACAGCATGTCAGTACATTTTCAGGAAATGGTAGCAAATTAGTCAAATCAAGTTACAGATACAGTCAAGAAGTTATCACGAGTCTCCCCTACAAGATTTTGGTGAATAAAATCAAGTGACTGATACCCAATATTTTAAAAGTGCAATGGTGCTGGCTCATCCTCAAGTCACTGTGGGAACTGACTGGGAATTGAAAGCTTCCACAATGCAGCACGTGGCTTTGCTGTTGAATTATGAAGCGTTTGTGTCTGTACTGGGAGGTGCTGGACGCAGGGATAGAATCAAAGTGCAGAGATAAACCACCACAGTCACCGTCTCGGGATGCAGGCAGCCTTCCTCCTGGCTCAAGAAAGGTTTCATTCCCGTGTGGTCAGTGTGCTTTTGTTTTTATAGTTTCTGATGCTCTGATATTAGAGAGAATTCCTGCTGGGGTACCCTTATATTACAGATACCACAGATGCTATAGGTTTTGTCCTTTCTGACTTCAAAAAGAATAAAGACAACACCATTGCCGCTATCGCTAAGTGATCTCGGTATAATATGTCTTTGGGGGCAAAAACTCATTCCCAGTATTTTCACCGAAGAGAGACATTTAAAATTATTCTTTTTGGTCTGCTCCTGAAGATTGTTGTCACATCGTTTGTTACCTTTATGATTGGTATGTTCTTAAGCTGTGGTTGCTGTGTGGAGAGGCGGATTTTCCTACACACTGCTTAAAATATTGTATTTTTTCCAACTAGGTGGCTGTACTACCATCCCAGAATCAGACTTAGAGGAAAGATCAATAGAACAAGACTCCGCTGAACTGTTTACCAACCACAAACACCTCATTGTAGAGACGCCCATGCCTGGTAAGAAAATGGGTGGCCTTCACCAATGATAAGTCAGGGATAGTGACACTCTGGCCAGTCCTCGTCATACCAGAGAGCCTTTTCACAAAGCTGCTTGTTTTCCAACTTCTTCATCCTTCCCCTCAGCATTGGTGCAGTTGAATTTGATTATTTGTATATTCCTTTCAATATTGAAACCTTTTTTCTCTCTCTCTCACTCTCTTTTTTCTAGAAGTTTCACCCCTCCAAGGAGTCTCGGAATAGTTCAAGTAGAGTTGTCTGGATGAGGGGAAGATGGCCTTCCCAATGCTGATCCTGTGTGGACCTCATGCCAAGCACAGATGTAGGGCTGGTCCAGGTGCTTCATCCATCTCACCTGCTTGGAGATGATACTATATAGACATGGGGATTGGGATTTTTTTATTTTGCTAGGAGGACTTGTAATACCATGGGCAGGTCAGTTGAAACTTGTCTTACTGGGAAGAGCTATTGCCGCTTTTTGGTCATCTGTATGCTTATAGCCATCGGATATAGTGAGAGGACATCTTTTGGGGACAGACTTTATAATGCAGAGACCTAGATCCAAAGTAATTTGATACCCCATTTTTTTCACAGAATTCTTATATAGTAAGTGTATCAAATTTAATAAAGCATCTCATTGTCCAACAAAATCTTGGATTTGATTTATAATTAGAGGGTTTTATAGTTGGTTTCTCTACATTTTTTCTTCAAAGGAAAAGAACTGAAAGGAATTGAAAACTTTGCTACTCCATGGTAACACTCAAACATAATTGTTTTATAAATAAACTACAGAATTTTCATATGATCTATTTACTCTATTCTAAAAAATGGAAGAAGGTAAGTTTTTAGTATTGAACAAAAATGTTAAAATATTTTTAGGGAAGGTAGTATATTAACATCCTCTTTAGATTACCCCATGGTGACACCTTTTAAAAATTCAGGTTGTAAAAGAATTCACACATTAGAATTAAAATGTAAGGTTTTTTATATTCAAGAAATAAAGGAGATTTTGCCAATTTCAAGTTAAAATTACAGTTTCAAGACTGATTTAAATAAATTAAAAATAAGTCTGTGCCAGTTTTGGAATGCCTGTCAGTCAGTATAAAGGGGGATATGGTTCATGGTTTTTCTATATGTGAAATGTCAAAAAACTGCAGAGGATTTATTATTTCTAGCAGTCTTTTTTAGGAGATGCAGCAGAAGATGTAATATTTTTAATTGTCAAGCATGGAAGTGGACAACTTCTAGCCTTTGGACCAGAATCAACCATTAGGTTAATTTCACCCAGCCATTGGGGACCAGTAAAAGATGTCATGGCTCCACGAATGACTATAGTTGCAAAAAATGCCACACTTCTGATCATCTTTAACAACTTCATTCAAGAAAGGTTACAAAACAAGTATATTACTTCTTAAAAAGGTGTTTCCGTGTTATGTCTCTCTCTCTCTCTTCCTTTTTTTTTTTTTCTTTTGGATGTTTGGTTCCTGTGGTTGTTTTTTGTGCTGTGCATATGTCCATGTGCTAATTTCTGTTCTCCTTTCTCTCTTTTTTTTCTTTCTTGAGTCATGCCCTGTTTGTATGTGTCCTTCTAACTGTCTTTCTTTAACTCTTTTTCTCTCTTGTGTTTCTATGTTCATCTGTCTTATCAGTTTTTCTCTTCCTTCACTTATTCCCCCCCCAATTCTTTCCCTTTATTTCCTATGATGTAAAACCCAAGTATATTGTTTGATTTGTAATGGTTACTTTAAGCATAGACGAGTGCAGTGATTTCTCTCTCTTTCAAATCCCTCCTCCATTGATTTCCTTTTATTTGTGTCCTCCATGATTGCTCAATTCTGTGAGAGAGTGACTACCAGTGTAAACTCAAAAGGCTTCCTACCTTCAGTTTGGGAATTTAAGATGACTTTTGTTGCTACAATTACATGTCATACTGAGAGTTTTTATGTTAAGATGTATATTTGTAAATGTTTTCCTGGAAATCATTATCAGTATCTTAAGTCTATTGGCACAACTACTTGACCAAATAATTTTTTTTATTTGAATCACTAGTACAGAATTCTGTATACATACATCATACACGTATTTTTAAAAAATATAATTGTATTTGCATTTTACTAGCTGCCAAAAGGAAAGAAGGTACTAATTAGCCTTTTTCAACATTATCAAATATAAAATATAAGTTCTAAAATGATAAAATAATTTGATTCATGATTTAAAAATATCATTTGATAAAAAAATTTCCTAAATTTATGTAATGTCTTTTACCCTTGATTTTAATATGATTTAAAAACATATATAAAGTGTTTCTACTAGCAGCCAAGAATTATGTTATCCTTTGAAGTGACTTTTTAAAGATCAAGACCCAAATAATTGTTAACTGTTCTCATTATTTTGGCACTAGTATTTCAGTCTTCAATAACAATTGTCCATTATCTCTTTCGTGTATGTGTGTATGTGTGTGTATACATGGTCTTGAAATCTTAGAGTAACTCAGAAAGCTTTAAGAAGTAAGATGATCCAGGTTTCTGATTAGCCAGATAGTCTCATTATTACCAAATATATCAGAATAGGTACTAATAAAACAGCAAATATTTAGTAAATTCTTACTGTGTGCTAGGTACTGTATATACACGATTTCATTCACTCCTTACAACATTACTTAGATGTAGATAATGTTATCTCTATTTTGCAAGTAGGAGTACTGAGGCCAAATAACTTACTCAGTGTCCCATAGTTCGTGTGTAGCAGAACTGGGATTTTAATCCAGGCTGATTCCAAAAACCCATATACACACCCAAAATGTAGAGATTATTGGTAAGACTACAATAAAATACATTTTAGACCTGAAGGTTTTTAGTCCAGGATAGCTACATTTTTAAAATTTCTAGTATGGTTATTTAAAAAATATACCTATTTATATTTCTCCTTTAGTGAATTACCTGTTCATGTTCTAAATTTTGGGGGGAGGTTGGTGATGGTGGTAATAATCTCCTTACTGAATTTTAATAGCCTTTTGAAAAATCGTATTAGTCTTTGGTTGATCTGGTATGATATCGACACTGTTTTCAGTTTTTCACTTGTCTTCTAATTTTGTTTCTCGGTTTGTTTTTAAGGTCGTTTTCTAAAATTTAAGTAGCCAAATCTATTAGCCCCTTTCTTTGTGGTTGCTGCCTTTGGTGTCCAGCCTGGGTGGTCTGATACCCTCTCCTGCCTCTTTTCTGTGCCAGTATGAGGTCCTGCGCAAGCTGTTGTGTTCTGTGCTGCAGCAAGCTTCAGTCATATGGATTTTATAAGCCACAGAGCTGTGTTCTTTTCTGCTCTCATATCTCACTGAGTTTTACATGAAATGCCTCCTAGGTTTTACCCAGCTCCTTCACGCTGGGGAAAATGACCCAAGTAATAGACCCCACAGTTCTCAAAATCCTGCTCCCCTCTGATGCTTGGCCCCTCCTGTGGGCTCTCCTTTAGGATGATTAGCTTTCCCCAAAGATTCTTTAGCAGTCTTATAATTAGCCTTGCCTGCTCCCACGCCAGCCGTTCAGACATGGCCAGACATGTTCCCATCCCATGTGAACACAAGTTGGGCTCATGTTGGGTGTGCTGTGCCCACTTAAATCTATATGTACAGAGGCAAGAGATATGGAGTCTGTGCCCCAATCCCCCCATTCTCTAAGCTTTTTGGTTCCCCAGCCTCACAAGGGACTAGCTTGGTGTTTCCATAGGTCAAGTATACCTGGAACCACAGGGGTTCCCTCAAATTGAGGAACATTAGATTGTGTTATGAATGGCTTTCTTGTAATTACATTAATAAAAAATTATTCTCTGGATTAAAAGTAGCTAAGCAAAGAGACCTCTCTCTTTTTTTTTTTTAATAGCTGCCTCTGACTAGTCAGTAGTCTGTCACAGTGCACGTGATCCTTATCACATAAAAATGTAGGTGAAGATGGGCCAAAAAATCAAAGTAAAATACATGTGAGGAGTGTTTAAACTCCTTAAAAAGCATTATATAAATACAGGATTGACAGTGGTCATCTGCCATGGCACCGTGTCCTTCTTGTGAGCCAACCGGTGTTATCCATGGCCTCCTGTTCAGAGATGAAGGGTGTGTCCAAAATGGTCAGAGAGCTGATGGGGGACAGGCTGATGGGAAGAGCCCAAACTGGGGATTTTCAGCCTTGGTTGGACCTTACTATCTCTAATTTTCTTCCCTTTGCTGATCTGTATTTTCAGAGTATTCTGTAATGAATATGTATTGCTCCTGTAATAAGAGAACAGATCCCATCCTTGTGTGTATCGAGAGAGAAAGGTATCACTCAGGATATCAGTGCTAGTGATATACATAATAATCAGTAATATACTCTTGTTACTTAGCTTTTGGTATATTAACAGCGTGAGTTTTAGAGAAACTGCTTGGACATTGTACTCCAAGAATGCTGAAAGGTCCAGAGTAGACGTAGTATCATCAAAATAACATGATTATTATGATCTATAGCCATAACGTGAGCCTAAGATTATATTGAAAATTAGTTTTTTTCTTTATGTCCTTAACATCTTCTGATGCAAAAAGCAAACATATCAATTAAATATGAAAATATTAGCGAGGTTTCTGAAAGAGCAATACACAGGGCTCAATACACAATTTAGATTGTGTCAGATGCTGTCCTTTTTATAGCCTTTTTGTTTATGCAGTGTTGAATTAGCTGGTGTTATTTTTCTGTTTTTATGGCTGAATCATGGAAGCTATGTGACATCCCATGTGTTAAGGGTTTTGTTGAGTTGGACTTTAAAAGGTATAACTTAGAGTGCAGCACAATTGCCAAGACCTAATCACAGTAAGATGCCTGTTAGAGTGATCACATCCCCCAGTGCTTCATCTGTGCTCCAGAGAGGGGGTTTCTGTTCTGGCTGATGTGGGAAAAACGTTGCAAAACCCCTCATTTTCAGGTTTGCTGTTGTTTCATTTTAATTATATTCAACCCAGACTCCAACCCTTCCTCCGAGGCTCAGTCTGAATAAATTTATCTCCTCACTTGTATACTAAGAGCTGCATTTGAGGCCCTCTTAGAACAGTGGGGATGACTTTGTGGGTCATGCCTTTTAGTCCCGTTTTCTGGCTCCTTATTACATTCTCCTCCTTTTTCTCTATTTATTTTGCTCCACTTTTCACTGTATTCTCTTTTGTTGTATTGACAAGTCCTTTAAGCACCTTAAATCATTTCTGTAACAGGTGGGGGTGAATAAATCAATATTGGCACCTCTCAAGATTTTTCTAGTCACTGTTGCTGGTGGTCATGTTTCCCTCTTGAAAAGTCCTGAACTCCCTGCCTCTCTTAAAACACACTATCCCTCACTTACTCTATTTCAGAAGTTGAATTTTTCTTTCCAGCTGGGATGGATTTGCAAACTTCTTGGACATGACTGTTCTTGGATTCTTTTTACTGATTAGTAAATTTATGCTGTATTAGTAAATCAATCTCTTAAAAGAAGTCAACAAGTCATAGAGAAATGGAGAAATCTGTAATCTTACTTTCCTAATTTATTTTTGCAGATTATGCAGAAGAGGCTAATAAGACTCTCCTACTATATTTACTTAAATTTGGCTTTAAAGAGAGATATGATTCTTAAAAATTCAATACTTCATGACC